GGCCGCTCTGGCCGCGCTGCTGCAGCCCTTCGTGCCCGGGGTCAGCGCCGCCATCCAGGAGCAGCTCCGCATCCCCCCCGAGCGCTGCGGCCTCGGGCCCGGCCTGGCCTGCACGCTGCCCGCCGGACACCGCGTGGGCACGGTACGGGCTGGGGGCGTCCCCCGGTGTCACCCACCCCCCAGGTGTGACCCCCCCCAGGTGTGACCCCTCTCTCCCTGCCCCGCCAGGTGAGCCCCCTGTTCCAGAAGTTGGAGCCCGAGCAGGTGGAAGCTCTGCGCCAGCGTTTCGGGGGAGGGCAGGTGAGTGGGGGGCTCTCCCCCTGCAGCCCCCTCCCCATTCCATCCCCCATCCATCCTGCCCCAGGTGAGCTGCACCTGCCCCGAGCAGGAATGGGGGGAGTTTATCCCCATCTCTCCCCCTCACAGGCCAAACAGCCCCTGCCGGCCTCAGCCCCCCCTGCAGCCCCCACCCCTTGTGCAGCTCCAGGTGACCCCAAACTGATCCAGGAGCTGACGGAGCAGGTGGCCAAACAGGTGAGGGGGACAGGACACGGGAGATTGGCTCTGTCACACCTTAAACCCCTCCAAAACCCTCATCACACCCTCAAATCCTTCCAGGGCAACCTGGTGCGGCAGCTGAAGGCCACCCAGGCCGACAAAGCCCAGGTGGACGCCCAGGTGGCCAAACTGCTGGAGCTGAAGCAGCAGCTGGCCCTGGCCGAAGGCCGGAGCCCCGAGGTGCCCAAGGGCAAGCGGAAGAAGTARCCCCAGTAACGGGACTGGGACACACTGGGGAGTGACCCCAGCACCCCCAGTAACCAAACTGGGCCGTGCTGGTTGTGTTGGACGCGTGTAATAAATGACAAGAGCTGTACAGTGGCGTGGARAAGCTGCATCCACTTGTCTGTCCGTGTGTCCATCTGTCCGTGGGGCTGCCCCCTCTGCCAGTCCGTGGGGCAGCAGAGTCCTTGTCCCCAGCTCTGGGACAGCGCTGTCACCGTCCCCCGGTGCTGTGATCGGTCCGTGTCCCGGCCCCGCGCTGGGGCAGCCGCTACACCCGGCGAGG